TTCATATAAACAACCTACATACTATATACATACATACTTTTTGCCATCTTTCCTGCTTCATATTTCACCTGCATGTATTTTGTTTAATTTTTAAAACCAAAACACGTATTTCTGTGGGAAAATTTAGCCATTTCTAGTTTTATACAATTTATATAAAAATGGAAATGGGCACTGACAAATGAGCTCCACAAACTATCTCACCTGCCTATTGATCGGTTTAGAGTTATGCCACCTACTGGTACTGCTACTAAAGCTGACCTTTGGGTCCGTAAATCTTGTGACCACTGATGGACATCAGATCGATCTTCCAGTCAGAGATGCTGATGGGAATCTTCCCAACGGCCTGAGCAGCATCAGTGTGGAAGAAGACTCCTTTTGAGCGACAAATCTGACCTGTAGATAGAAAGAGTTCAAGCTCATTAATCTGATCAGAGCTCTCGGTTGGGCTCCGCATTAAGCGAATAGTCTGATTTATTCAGTAAAACTGACAAAACTATTTAGATGCGGATATTATGAGTGCGTGATTGTGAGCATTTCATGTGTGTTTGATTTGCTATGCTTACCAATCTCCTTGATGGGCTGCTTGACTCCGATCTCGTTGTTCACGGTCATCACCGACACCAAAGAGGTGTCAGTACGGATGGAGGCCTCCAACAACTGAACACACAAACAAACATGTAGTAAGACTCACTGTAAGGAGCAGACACGGGACACAATAATTCGTGAATTCTGTAACGCTACAAATGGAGGTAAAAATAATAAATACAGGCTTCACTGCCCAGAGGTATTGTAAATATAGCTTCCAGTTTTTAATATGTTCATACAGACAATATTCTGGTTGTTGTCTGCGTGATCTCTCTTTTTGTCTCTGTATGTTTACCTCTAGGTCCAGCAGGCCGTTGTTCTGGACCGGCAGGTAAGTAACATCGAACCCTTCGGACTCCAGAATCCGACACGAGTCTAAGACGCACTTATGCTCGGTCTGAGTGGTGATCACATGATGTTTTTTGGCCTTGTAGAACCGGGCTACACCCTACAGGAGAGAACACACTGGGTTAAAGGGAAGAAAGTTTTAAGATTTTCTCTGATTCTAGCACTTTCTGGAGTTGTGAATCCAGTTTGTGGCTACTGCTCGTTTCTTTTTAGCATTAATTCAATTACCTCATTTATAATTCCAGTAAATCAGAATCGACAGCAGCGTGACTTTAATTTGCTTCCTCTATTCTTGCTGTTATTACTTGTTCTTTGCTACACATGGTGTCTTTGGTAAGGCAATCCAAGTGGACTGAAGTGAAGTAGTTTGTTTCAGTGAAACAGTGAAAACAGATGCTACTTCTTCCTGTCAGTTGACTTATTTGCCTCGTGTGCACAGAAAATTTCTTTTAATTAAATGTTCTCAACGTGGCTGACAAATTCCATTTTTATCACAAGTTTTTGCATTTCAATATTGTATAGTTTGATTCAGAAGAAGCATCCAAATCATTAACAATACAAAGAGTTTTGTTAATGACAGTTTTGTTTTAAGGAGTTTTATTAATCAGTTCACATTCTGAATTTGCTCTTACTGTTTTATGTGTTTTTTATTTCTCATGTAGTTTATCACTTGGTTTTTTACAGTGTTCTTATTTTGTAAGAGTTGTAGTTTTAATCTGTTGTCTGCATTTTATATTTTTGATCAGTTTTCACCAAAACAAAACCTGTGTGTGTTTGTGTGAGAGAAAGTGATTAAGGTCAAGAGAGTAGGACCTTGATAGCCATGTTGTTGGACTCTGTGGCTCCGCTGGTGAAAATGATCTCTCTGGGATCGGCTCCAATCAGATCAGCCACCTGCTGCTCAGAGAGAAAGAAAGGGGGAAAAAAACACCAAACAGATTCACATGTTTCTAATTTGTGTTTCTAATTTTGAACATGTGTTCTAGTGATGCTCTAACTCCGCCCTAGTGGCCATCACAATTTGGCCATTGAGAAATTTGCTCAAATTCTTATGCGTGGCCATTTTTCCTGCTTTTAACACATAAACTTTGAGGACAAAGTGTGAACAACCAGACAAAAAAATCAGATTTGATCAAAAAATCGTAATTGAGCATTAAGACCTGCAGTGTGAACGTAGCCATAGACATATAGCAACATCAGTCAGTGACTCTCGGTGAAACATGCACATGTTGTAGGTTACAAATATTAATGTCGGAGCGTTGATGCTGAATTCAAACATTCAGCATCAGTGCTCGACTTTGGTGTGCTCACTAGCTTGTATGAGGCCTGCATCTCTTTGCATACCACAGCTACAACTGAGCAAGCCAAAGTGATACATGGACCAGATTTTTTCAGTAAAAGGACTAGATGTTACTGTCCTTTTACTACCTGCAAAGAAAGTGTAAATAAGCACAGCCCACTTTTCTAAAGATGGAGCAGCTCTCTACCTTCCTAGCGTTCTCCATAGCGGATTCACTCTCCCAGCCGTAGGCATGCGTTCTGGAGTGAGGGTTACCGTAGTAATTCACCTGGTATGGCAACATGGCATCCAGCACCCGGGGATCCTAAAGACACACACAAACATATGAAACTCTAAGTACAACCAGCTTTATGTCCAACTCTCTCTGACATCAGCTGTAAAAGCCTGTAAAAGTGACAAAGTGCTTAGTAACAGTTACCATGGGAGTGGTTGCCTGGAAGTCCATGTAGAGGGGGCGAGGCTCATCCTGTTCATGTTTCTTGATCAACTCTGCAGCATAAATTACAGTATATTTAAGACATTTAAAGCCATTCTTAAGACCACATTAAATTTATTAATGTAAAAAAATGGCATTTAAATTGTTACATTATTACATTCATCGGGCATATTGGGGCCCGATGAATGTAAAAACAAAGAATTACCAGATTTTTTTTAACCTTATTTTTGTTTTTATGAAAAATAAGAGCCACATATGAGGATATTCGTTTAAAATTTCGATAGAACAGTAGCAGTATAATGTCCTCGTAAGTGGATATCAGGCCCTTGCAGAGCAAAATTGAGTATTTTGGTCTAAATAACCCAAAATGTGATGTCCACATATGTGGACGCCAGGTCCTAGGAGGTTAAAATACGAAATTTTTCACCAAACCTGACATGTGTGCAAAATTTCACGAGTTTTTGAGCATGTTAAAGCACTCAAAAAAGGCAATTCATTTCAATGAAAATAATAATAAGAAGAAACAGAGCAGATACAATGGAGCCTTCGCACTCTCAGTACTCGGGCCCTAATAATAAGAAACAGAGCAGATACATTAGGGCCTTCGCACTCTCAGTGCTCGGGCCCTAAAAATGTTGTCAATCTGGCAATGAAGTCAAGAGTAATGTGCATGATTTTAACATTATAAAAAATGGAGAGTGACACAGAGAATATCAGAACATAAAATCTTTTTAAAACAGTTATTTAACAAGATTGCTTCGTCTTGTGCCAGTCAGCTAGTGCTCGTGAACTTTCCGTTTATTAGTGTTTTAATTTAGTATTTTTTAGGTTTTCCTGACCTCACGTGGATTTTAAAGTCGTCAGTTAACCTGACAGTTTACAGATGCTGTGAAGTTTCCTGCCTCACTAAACTGCGTCACTTTGGGATTAGCTTCGTGCTAGTTGGTCTTGGGGGAATAAGCTACCCATTTTGCTCGGGGCAATTGTTACCTTTCTGCGGGAAGCTAGCGGCCGTCCGCTCGGAGCTCAGCCGGAGAGGAAGCCACGCGGTTGGCCTCAGCAGCCGGGAGGACACGGTCCTACCCGAGGCAAGCATCTTGTCAGTGGACTGGCTTCAACTGGAAAGCCGCTGACCTCCGTCAAAAACAGCACGCTGTTCGTGCTGAACACCAGCAAAACAGAAAACTTGGCACAGACCAGCTTAACCCACTGGTTCCTCCGCAAGAAAATAGAAATAACAAAATATCACTACTTAAACAAAAGGTTAAATTTGAGTGAAGTTCGGTGATGTTGCCGCCTGTCTGTTACGTCCAGGTATAAACACAAATGTCAAGATGAATACGTAACACCGAACACTTCCGTGTGAGACGTTCAAATTAAAAGCTTTTCACAACCATCGCAATGATAAGCATTGCTTCATATAAAGTGGATTATTTTCTAAAAAAGTATATAATATGCACATATATTTGGATTTTTATCAGTCGGACTGATAGCGGTTTTTGTCCTCTGATTGTCAAGGGGAGAGAAAAAGCAACAGATAAATAAATACAAGTAACAATGTAAAAAAAATATCATAGGACTAGGGTCACCAGTAATGATGTCTTAGACTTTACAGGGTAAAAACTTCAGGTTTCTGTTAATTAATTTAAGTAAGATAATGGAATATGTTCTTTATCACAAAAATTTGGGACTTCTGCAGCCAAAACAAATTGTGCAATACATTAAATAAAATCCCATTATTTTAACTTCCGCCTCTTTGCAGCGTCTTCACTCGGTTACTTTGATAGCTTGACGCAGCTCGATGTCGATGCCGTTTCATGGTTGCGCAAGAAACGGAAATAGGAGGCGGGAGTTCCTGTGAACGTTCACCACTCTTATTCGTTAATTTTCTGTGTTTTGGTATCGCTTCTGCTTTTTGGTTGGCTACAAAGCAACGAGTTTGTGCAAAGTGGTTTCAGTATGTTTCATTATCTTATGAATACACTACTTTTAAATAATCTATTTTTGCTTCAGTAAAATTTTTGTGTGAAAGTGTTGTACTGTATAACTATTTGCGTATATTTCTGGAGTTAAGTGGTTCGCACTGTTTCCTCACAGGATAGAAGGTCCTGAGTTCACTTCCACCATCAGGAGTTTTTACATCTTCTCCCCCGTTTGCGTTGGTTCTCTCGGGCTTCTTCCTACAGTCCGAATACATTGGGGGCGGGTTAATTGGCGATTCCAAAATTGCCCTAAGACAGCTGGGATAGACTCCAGCGACCCCGAAGAGAATTAATGGATAATGCAATATTTAAATCCAGACCCAGACTCCATACCAGCTGGTGGCGCTTTTTTGACGTTCGCCCAATAAAGAAGAAGAAAAGGTAGAAGCGGAAGAGAAGCCGAATGTAGCTCATTAGCTACCTAGCTAGGTTACTTTTAAAAACCCTATTTATATATTATTTTTAAAAACACCGGGGATGGAAAATTAAACTTTTTGAGCGGTGGATCTCGCTTTGAGGTGAGTTTGAGGTTTCTGCTCGTAATGTGAAAGCTCGCAGAGACGAGCTAACCCTGTCAGTATGCTGCTGCTGGCAGGACGGTAAAAACGTTTTGGGGTTTTGTTTTTATTCATATCAAATAATATGATGGGTTTATGCTTTAGTCAAATTAACGAATAAATTAGGTAGTGTTATATTTAACATTTACATGCGTTTTCTGGCCGTAGCAGCTGCACTGATCGTAGTTATTAAAGATAAAAAGGAGAGAAAACTAGTTTCCTGAACGTTAGACACCAACATGAGCGTCAATTCTTACTTGTTATTTACAACAACGAGCGAAAAGCAGAACTAAACACTGTGGGGATTTAACTCCCCTAGTCTCAGTCTGATATTACGTTCGCACTGAAACTGAATTTGCACTGTAATATGTAATAGTAGCTTGTCGTTTTATTTTCGTATAGATATTATTATGGAACATAAATAAATGAGAAATATTTAGTTTACCTACACTGGACAGTCTGTGTGGGTCCACTTTTTTTTTTCCTTTTTGATGTGTGTATGTGTTTTACTTTATTTTTAAATTTTAATATTAAACAAATGAAACCCAAGTCAATAAAACATACAGTTTTTAAATGATGGTTTAATTTATAAACTGAAAAAGCTACACAGACCCGCCTGACCCTTTGTGAAAAAGTAATTGCCCTAAAGCTGATTGTTTTTGCCACTCTTGGCAGCAAGAGCTGCTGTCTTTGCAGTCATTTGTGATGACTGGCAATGCGTGTTTCACATCACGGTGGCCCACCCTTATTGACAAAATTGTTTTAATTCTGGATTTTCAAGCACAAAAAGCATTTTTAAGGTCAAACCAAAACATCTTAAGCCTGGACTTTGCCTAGGATACTTCAAAACCTTTTTAATGTTTTTTGTTTTGTGTCTTTGGACGTTTTGGTTGCATGTTTCTAATTATTGTCCTGATCCACAAGTGCAAGTCTCAGATTCCAGCTTTGACACTGTGGCTATCTGGTGATATTTTCTGTTGTAATGTTACTTTCTGGATGGTTAAACCTTGTTTTATGTATGTGGGGTGCATCATATGCAAGCCATTGCTTTGGCCTGCACCCTTTCTTTTGGAAAGAACCACTTGTTTCATTATGATCAGATAGCAATAAACAAACAAATACACAAGTAAATAGTGAAGAGAACCTATTTAAATGTTCGAAATCTCGAAAGTCTGTGAACAGGACTTTAGAGATCATATACCCTTCATTTGAAATGAATGGTAAAAGAAGTACTTGTCACTGTGGGGGTTTTATTTCTTGCTGTAAGGGAAAAAAAAAGTTCAAAAATTATACATGCAACATTCTTAACGGCCGTTTTTGAAGTGCTGCAAATGTAAATGTTGCCACCAACCTCATGTTATCAAAACAGGGCTGTTTTGCAAAGTTATCTGTAACTGGTGCCAAAGTCCGTGTAGAACTGACACAAGAGAATATGGCACACAGATGATCTCAACCGAGCTTCTTAAAAATCAATAAAAGCTGTGGCTTGGTCAGAGTGTATGCATTTTTATGTCAAAGAAGGTGCACCCCCATTTAAGTTTATTAATAAATGATGCTCTATAGTAGTTTTTGTAGAGTACAAGTTGCGACTTGTACTGGACCTTTTGAGAGTCATGCAGAGCTGATCTAATAAGTCAAATAATTTTTGCAACTGTGCATGACGATAATAAATCCAGCGTATTAATCTCACAAATCAAGATGATAGTAAGGATGATATTGTAAAATATGTTTTAGTTATGAAAGCCAGAAATTCATTTGAAAGATTTGTGACAGCGTCTGGAAGAACAAACATGTTTGTGTGAGTGGCCAAGAGGGCAACCTTCAGCCACATTCAGATTAAACATAGAAGTATTTCCACATCATCTGCACCTTCAGTGATGGTAACTTGCTAGTGCTGAAAGCTGTGACATGTCAGCTGACCCCTTGGTTTATTTCACAGGTGACGCCATGCTCCAAGAGCTTTTAGCAACCGAAATTCGACACGTTTGACTAAGAAGCTGTCGCCACTGCCGCCATCATGGGGACAACGATGAGCGAGCCGTGTATTTATGATAAACTGTCCGAGAGTATCGACATCCTCCGTCAGTCGGGTTACCGCTACGGAATGTCGGAGAGGGAGATCGAGAGGTTCATCAAGCAGGTCCTGGAGACCAACGAGCCCAGAAGAGAGCCCCCACAGTTTCCCATCCTGAGAGCCACCATCAAGGTCCACATATAAATTACTACATTGCTGAAACAGATTAATACTGAAGACCTTTGACACTAGAGAGGCTTAGTTTTAATTTTAGTTCGGTAGTGTTGGTAATTAGTTTGAAAGACTGTTTTAAGATAGATTTAAAGTGTGAAAATCCAATTAGTTTACTTTGTAGAAGACTCAGCTCTTTTTGTTGCTCTAAAATAGGTTTACACTTCACAGACGGTTATTCATGTGCTGTCCTGATAAAGGAGACATTTGTCTGAGTTGCAAAGTCTTTGTGTTGTCTCTTCAGTTTGTGGTGGCTGTTGGCTTCTTGCTGGTGGTGGTGCTGGCCTTCACCTACCCCCAGAATGCTCCCCAGCTGGGACTGGTCAATCTGGGCTGCTATAACTGGTCGTCCCCTCTCAGCCACGTCCGCCTGCTCTCCCTACCCATCGCCAAGAAGTACAACCTGCAAGGTGTGAGTTGTTTCAGTTTTTGTTCTGTCGCAAACATGCGTACACAAACAAAATCCAACGTTTTCTACTAACGAGAAAGTCCTTATTACCCTAGGATTGCACAATTCATTTCAGCACCTCAGCAGAGAGCTGTAGTTGGGATATGCCAATCCAGAAGATATTTGACGTTTCAGTTTAAATTAAATTTGACGTTTGTGTGCAGCAGCAAACATGACTGTTCCGTAAACTTGTTCTCCATTTGAGAAAAAACTGAAACCAAAAAGGAGAAACTTTTTTTTTTTTGCATCTCTGCTTAGGGGCAGACCTGTGTTTATGCATGCTGTTACTTGCAGGGACACTTAATAAAACTGTTTCATCATTATAACATCTTTGACTTGAGTGCCTACCTGTAAGCTGTATGCATAAACTTTACGGGGCAGTGCACAGACAGTGCTATCTGCTAATCACTGTAAACAAACTAAAATAAAACGTACTAGAATTTTAGGGCAGTAAACTAATTCCAGTAAAAATGTCCCTAAAGGCACCATAAACATGAACCACTTCAATGACTCGAGTTAGTGGAGATGACATCCGTCAGACTATAGGTCTTTAAAAGAAATCCAAACAGGTGACTTATTTAGGAGAAATTAAATCAACCCATGCAGTTAGATTAGATTAGATGAAACTTTATTAATCCCTCGGGTGGGTTCCTCTGGGAAATTCACTTTCCAGTAGCACAGCTCTGTCAAGAATGAAGCTATCCTTAGAGCCCAAAGCTTGTTTGTTTGTTTCAGACCAGCCTGTAAATATGCATTTCTTAAGTGTTTGTGTGCTGCAGGTTTCCATGAGTGGTGGAGCGCCGGCGCTCTCAGGCAAAATCTAGTCAACTGTTCAGGCTGTGCGGAGATTTCCTCAGTGTTGGAAGTCCCTGAGAGCCTCAGAGGGACTGTCACTCTGCGACGAGGTCCTCAGCTTGTCCTGCTGAAGGTCAGAGGTCAACGCTGTCTCTAAAGAGCCTTGTGTCATATTCCTGATAGAGAACCTGTTTAAAATGTCTGTAAACACCACCGTGTGTGCCAGTGGTGCCATTTAAAGGATTTGACTTGTTTAATTTTGACTCTGTTATTAGCGTAGCCTCTGTCTTTCTGAAATGTGCACGTGAGCATTTTTCTTTCCAAAGAATTTATTTATTTATTTATTACTACAAACACTTCAAAAACTTAAGATCATCATGATAACTGCATCTACTGTGCTGAACAAGTGACACATGCATATTGTGGGAGCCACTCACACAGATCTCAAGAGATAAAGAATGTGTGTAAGGCACTTGTCACACTAGGAAAAAGTCAACAGCAGACCTGTAAAATCACATGCCCTGTAAACAGTATTCAGTTTGAATAAAAAAACAAAACAAAACAGTTTGTTCATCTTTATTTCCATTTGTCCATGCTGCTCTCTCTAGGGCGGGGAGTCCCTCAGCGTCCAGCGGCAGCAGCTCGAGGAGCTCTACCTGGCTCATTCGGGCTCCATGTCCATTCTGCTGGAGGAGGAGGACGGTCTGCACAACCACAATCTCGGCCTCCCTCAGGGACCTGCCAACTTCACGTTGCTCTGGTACTTAGCATTTTTAAAGTAGTGCTCCATTTGCTCAGTACTAACCCAAACCACTGGAAAATACTTACTAATTTAATACTTGAAGAGGTCAGAATCAGATTGTTGTGCCATCTACATGCGGACGCATACTGTGTAATAAATAAAATGCTGGGTGCAACACATCTACCTGTAAAAAGTCTACTTACTACACTTTTAGACAAATCGTTGTACTACCCCTGTGATCTTTGACCTTCGTAAATTGTGGTCTCAGTTACATTCAAAAGAGGAAGTTAAGTCCACCCTATGCTAGAGTATGTTTTAGAGCAAGCCAGCCTTGTAATTTTCAGATCGCTGACCCTATGACCATTAAAACTGGACGTTAAAAACCAATAGCTGACATCACTGTGACCATTAATTATATCTGGATACAGTCTGTGTGGTTGTAGTTGTGCATATTACTTCTGTCCCTGTAGGCGGTTCAGCTCTGGGACCAGGGAGAAGGTGCTGAGGTGGCTCTTCCCGAAGGCTGAGCTCTGCCCCCTGCTGGACAGCGCCGGGACCATCCTGCAGCGCTGCCTGGTCACCCACAGCACAAACTCTCAGAGCAAGGTGAGTCCAACTGTGTTCATATTTGTTCATATTCCAATCGCGGAGGAAACACCACGCTAATTATCGTTATGGATGCAGAGAGTAAACAGTAAAAACGGTAAAAATAAAGAAAAAAATGGATTATTATTATTATTATTATTATTATTATTAGTATTAAGTTAAAGCAGCTGAAGTGTGTTGAGGTTGTGCAGTTGTGATTGTAGCGCCTCAGTGACGTTTTGTCCTCGATAATATTTAACTACAAAAACACACCTTTCAGCTTTCTTTGTTGTAAGCTGCCGTTTGGGTTTCAGGGTGTCAGGGTGTTGGGCTGGCTGGTGGTGGGCGAGGGGCTGCCAACTGTTCGAGTTCTGCCCGTTCAGCGCTGCCAGAAACACTGCAGCTCCTTCAACCTGTGGCTGACGCCGGGAGACATGGGTAACACCTGCTGCACCTGCACATTTTTACACTGGACAGCAGATGAAATACAGATAATTATTATTTTTTTAAAGTTAAAATATAGTTTTTGTTGTTAGGACTTTATATAGTTTATTTATTCATTAATGTTTAATTTGTCAGATTAAACATTAATAAATTAATGTTTAATCTGACAAATTAAAATCAAAGCAGTTAATGTTTTGTGTAGCTGCTGAAGCCACACTGAGCACCTATTGATGATTTGTTGTCCCCTCTGACCTTTGACCTGCACAGTGTACGCTGACCCCCGGTACTGGCAGATGGAGCTCTTTCCGGGTCGAGGCCAGAACATCATCTGTGGCGGGTCGACATTTTAAAACTTCAGGAGGCGCCAAGAGAAGAAGGGCGGAGTTCAGGACTGAGGCGTGACATGGAGATCATCTGCCTTGCTCCAGCTCCGCCCACTGATGCCTTACAAAGTCCCAACCTTTTTATTATTATTACTTTTTCCTGGTACCCCTTCTTTCCTCACATCATCCTCAGAGAGCTGGAACAACTGCACACATGGAGGTTTGAGGACTGAAAAGTGACTCATTTAGTTTACCAGCTGAACGTAATCTCGTGCCATAGCTCCACACAGATATCTAGATATAAAAAGAACAAACAAAAGAAATCTTTGTTTCTCTTTAGTGTGCCCGGTCCCAGGTCTCTGAATCACCGCCAACACCTCCGACTCGTTCAGTGATTTTAAAATATCTGCTGTTGTCCTTGTTGGTTGGAGAAAACAAAGTTATATTTTGTGTCAAAGCCAGAAAAATGTCTTCATGTGTGACTCTTCACAGTGATGAGGGTCAAATTTATGAAAAATGACTTTTAAATGGAGTCCTCTTAAGAGACTTGTGGTTTCAGATATTGAGTCACAGCTGATTGGTCAGCCAGAGACAACCCAAGCACCATGTACAACGGAAGAACAATGAGATACAAAATTAGTGCTTTGCATATTGGCCGTGTGCAGCCGACCCCAGGCTGGATTAACTTAAACTTTGTGGCTTTTTAATCTGTAATAGCTGATTGATCTAAAATGAAACTGGGAGTAATCAAAGTAGAACCAGTAGCAACGCAGGGGATGCCCCACAGCTCCCGTTCTTCTTCTTCTCCCTCTAACACCTGCTTAAGTTTTTGCACTTTCTGGGAACTTTAAAGGAACTTTGGCGTCATTTGGATTCATGTGGATGTGGTAAAAGAGCCGGACTATGATCAGAACTTCCAGCCGCTAACAAACTCAGATGGTGCTGAGAGGAAAAACTCATCGAGCTGCTCAGTGCAGGAGCAAACCCAGAAACAAAAGAAAATAATTGCCATCTGTTGTGACGCTTCTGCCCTTTATTTGGTTCTTTTGATTATGTTAAAGGGACAGTTCACCCCAAATTTTAAAACTATGATATTCTCAGTTACATATCGTAGTACCTAAAACAGTCTGTCATTTGAACTGCGTTTTAGTTTTTCTGTATTTTGGGTAATTTTTTTTCAAAGTGGACCCATTATGTTCTAGTATCAGTAAGAGGATATTAGTTACCCCATCTTAGGGCTGTTCGATATAACGATATATATCGGATGATGATGTTATAAAAAACGTCTATCGTTGCATTTTACGCTATTTGTTTGTTTCGTGGTGTCGCAAAATAAACTGTTTACGGCAATATTTTTTCATTATGGTCACTGTAGTGGCTATATTAATTTCTTAAAGTTCTCTTATTCTCTTATATTTAATATAACCACACTACAGACAGACAAGCGCTTGTTTTTATGCGTTGTCGTTATTTCTACAAACCTTTCACAATAAAGCTCAAGATCCTGTTGAGACTTTTCAAAATAAACTGAATCACGTGAAAGATCTAGAGTATTTACGGATGAGAAGCAAAAACAAGCCGTCGGGTGCTAAAAAATGTCTAAAAATGTATAGTTTCATGCATCAGTTAAAACACTCGACTCCAGGTACGCAACGCCCGGCTGGAAACACTTCACGCAAGTCGAGCTGCCCGAGATTCACAGAATTTACAGAAAATGTTACATTTTTGTGATTATATCGTTATCGGACGATAGAATTCTTATATCGGGATATGAGATTTTGGTCATATCGCACAGCCCTACCCCTTCTTACTGACATCATAGAGATCTTAGAGTAGAAGAAATGAAAATGACATGTGGATATATATATAGGCATCCTTATTTGAAAATTGGCCACTTTTAATGTGAGCATCCTTCATTTTAACAATAAATATGGTGGAAAACAAGGAAAATTGGGAAAGGCTTAATTTAAATGAATTGTTTTGGCTCATGTTTTTGCCAAATGTAAACATAACACTGCGATTCTCGTTCTTTTCAAACTCTCTTGAAAAAGTTTTTAAACATTCTTTTTTTGGTCACATTTTAGCATTTTACAAAAGTGTTTTTAACCTGATTATTAGATTATGAGCCATCTCTGCCTCAACACAAGTTTTAGACCTGTGAGAGAATATATGGGTGAGCTGGCCAGTTTGCAACACTAAGGCACCACACAGCAGCAGACGGGAGACATTTTATTGATAACACAGACAAAAGCTGCTTCTCTAATTTCATTGTCGCTATTTATTGTTATGGCTGTATAGAAATTGAACCATTAATTTTTAATAATAAAGTGTTGTAATATTATATTTTTGATTATTACATGGGATCATTAGCACAGACGGAGCAAGAGCGGAGGATATATTTTGTGCTTATCAGGGTTTAAAAGTCTGAATAATGTCAAGTAAGTTTGCCAAAGTTTCTGCATTTTAAAGATGAACTCCCTCAGCTTGTTTAAGAGTTTTACATTTCCAGCAAAGCAGCTGAAGCTAAGTCAGGGGCTGCATCTTTTGAAATGTTTGCTTTGCATAGAGATGTAACACTTTTATGAGGAAATTAAAACTTATCGTGTATTATATGCTTCCATCTGTGTGGACACTTTGTTTAAAAGTTAAAATATTGAGTCTGAACTTTATGGGGAATTGTAGGAATTGTGAAGAAAATTAAACAAAACAAAAAAAAGTCTTGCAGACAAAAGCCCATCCACCCATTTTCTTCTGCTTATCCAGAAGAAAGGGTGGCAGACAAAATAGAATAACTACAGGTGATCTGGTATGCTCATTGTCATCTCCAAAAGTCATTTTTGAACTGCACTAGAGTAGCTTGGATGATTCACAGTTAAATATAATCCTCATTGTTGTACTACACCGGATCAGTTCAGCCTCTATTTTGAATCCTATCCATCTGAACCAACCGTCTTCTGATTGGCTGCCCCTCCAAAACAGAACAGCAGATGGGTGGGGCTTCTGGGCCTTAAATTCCCATATTAGGAGATGACATCACTGCAACTGAATACATGTATTTCCAGACCAATGGCCTAAATCTAGTTTCAAAAATCAAAAAACTTTAAAAGGTTTTAGAATTAGACTGAAAAGTTAACAGTAGGAAAGGAAAAGTTAAGTCTGAAAACCTTAACCCAGAGATACTAGTACATAACCTCTGAATATATATGAAAGAAAGTAAAAATGAGTATGATTAATAGGTCTAATTTAAATATTTTGTCAACATTTAAGCATTTGTAAGGTTTGCCAAGAAAACTGCTCTACATGTCAAATCCAAATAATCCTGCTTTAAATCCATTATTTAATTCAGATTTGGCCCGTTTTACAACATTGTGGTACCTTTTGAAGGACCTTACAGGAGAAGTAGACTTACATTAGCTGTGCAGTTTATAGCTAACTAATGCAAAGAGCAGTGCTGTAGTAAATCTCACTTTCTGACATTTACTTTTTGGTGTCTCCAATAGTTTGCGTGTACAAAATGTACATTTGAAGTCAGTGATTCACGATACTAACCACACAAGTTCTTACAATATTTATCCAGCCATCAGTGATATAATCTGACTTCAGACCCAGAGGAGGTACAGAACATCAACAGAGGCTTTGTGGTTTGGTAAGTGTGGATTGGTCATTGTTTCAATATTATGTTACTTCCAAGTCACAGCATGTGTTAAACTCTTTGCAGGTTAGAATCATCAGCTGGAGCTGGAAGAAGCAGCTTTGTCTTTCTGGAAATCTCTGATTAAACGTTTTGCCCCACAAGAGTAAATAATCCTTCCCCTGCATCTACGCAGTATTAATATTAGGGGTGCAACTATACACAAAATTCACGGTTTGGTTCGATATTTTGGTGTCACGGTTCGATATTTTTTCGATACAAAAAAATATTCACGCTTTTTTAATTTGTCATTTATTAAAATTATAAATATACATTTTAACTCAAACTTACAGTTTTTAAATTTAATGTTGCTGAAACAACAAAGGGATAAAATAATAATCTAAACCTAATCTATCTGATCGAGAAATCACTCATGAGAGTTTATTACAGAGAAATGGCTCTTTCCAAAATAAAAGCTATACTATATGCTTCGTCTGGGCTATATTCTCAGCAGCATATTAATCTGGGGTCCGTTCTTCGTACCTCGCTAAGTAAGTTAGCTGGATTTGATTGTTGACGATTTCGTGTGATCCTGGATCAGTCGGTTCTCCGAAGCTCATCCGGGACTTGCTGTCATAGCAACAGAGCC